AAGCCATACTTTTGGTTTACTAAGTCTTTCTTACAACAATTTTATTCATTCAAAATTACAACCATGTTTTAGTTAAGAACAAATACAATATTTACAAACAAATCAAATAATAAATATTATCAGGTGATAATGTTCACATCACCACAAGAATATAATACACAGTTTATAAATTATTTGTCAGCTGTTTAATGTTTGTCAGACATTTGTTATTATTTTTATAACCTCACTTTCAGTATGCAATTATTAAACTTGGAGTTTCTGTTTATAAACACACAATTTTGATCAAGGAAAGTGTATTTGTTAACTTATTTTTGAAATGTTTTAGTTTTCCTGCAAAGTGATCTGAAGGAAAGTGGTAATTGAGTTTAAGTTTGAGTATGGAATGTGAAATAATACCCATAGTAGGGAACGGAAACTTATTGTTTTGATCAATTTTAATTTATTCTCTACGGCCACCAGAATAATCATGGGGAAATCCGCTTGCAAGTTGTACATATAACTGCTAATGAGTGGGAAACATACAAACATTTTATAGTAGGTGACGAATCTTACTCAAGATCAGTGTTAGACGTTCAGTGGTACCAAACTTTACCTTCTCGAGATGGTGAGTACGCTGGGATACGTGGAACTACAATATATCAGTGATTTTTTTTTCAAGTACACAGGGAAGTTGCTTGAGAAACTATGACTTACCATTCGGTTCTGGCGAAGAAGTATGTGACTTGATGTTTAATGGCAATGTTGACTCGGATCATTATAGCGTTATAAAACTGAATCATTAACCCCAGGGTGTGAAAAGTACAAAAAGAAATAGAAAAGGTAATCAATCATTAACCGGGCGTAAAGAGACATACCGAACGAAAAAAAAAATCTATAGAACCATCGAACTAAAAAGGTAAAGAGCAGTGTTGGTGTTAAATGTGCTCTGGAAGTCCCTAAAAAAAATACCAACTCTTTTGAATTGGGGTCGTTAGATTGGATTTGTCACTACTTCAAATCTATGAATTTCGAGTCAGAACAGACTAACTGGGACACAAAAATGTTTTAGTTTTCCTGCAAAGTGATCTGAAGGAAAGTGGTAGTTGAGTTTAAGTTTGAGTATGGAATGTGAAATAATACCCATGTAGGGGACGGAAACTTATTGTTTTTATCAATATAATTTATTCTCTATAGCCACCAGAACAATCATAGGGAAATCCGCTTGCAAGTTGTACAGATAATTGCTAATGAATGGTAAACATACAAACATTTTTTCGTAAGTGATAAATCTTACTCAAGATCAGTGTTCGACGTTAAAATTTTACCTTCTCGAGATGGCGAGTACGCTGGGATATTTGGAACTACAATTTATCAGTGAACTATACCCTAACTATATTTTTTGGAGTAGGCCTACACAGGGAAGTTGCTTGAGAAACTGTGACTTACGATTTCGGTTCTGGCGAAGAAGTATCTGACTTGATGTTTAATGGCAATGTTGACTCGGGTCATTATAGCGTTATAAAACTTTATCATTAACCCCAGGATGTAAAAAGTACAAAAAGTGTAGGAAAAGTACAAAAATAAAAATAAAAGGTAATCATTAACCGGGCGTAAAGAGACATACAGAACAAAAAAAAAAAAAACATGTAGAGAACCATCAAACTAAAAAGGTAAAGAGCAGTGATGGTGTTAAATGTGAGTTTATGGAAAATCTTATCAACAGCGACTATAAAAAAGTATTAAGGGTCAAAAGAGACAAAAAACTATTTGAGTAAAATAAAAAAGACCTTTAATTTGATGTGCATATTGACCTATGCTTCCATTTAAGATTTTCTTCCGACTCCTTTGTGGGCCGTCCCCCTGAAGAATTATTGGATCACTGAATATGTGTTAAAATAGAGTTCTATGCCCTGTAACTTTGTACCAAGTATTTTAGCTCTATCTGCATTATTTTTTAAAATATTTAACCGTTCCGGGACTTTTCTACCACACGCTATAATACAAATTGCGTATTAAATAAGTACCTATAGGCCTAGAATCTGCATTTGAAATGGCCAGTTCTAAGTCTCACTTGAATCAACATCTTTCTGGTAGTAGTAGTCTACATAGTTTTAAAATCCACGACTCCTTTTCCATCAAATTGGACCGTTAATACCCTCTAACATTGAACAAAGTATGCCCAACTTTATATATATACGACGTAAACACAGCTTTTACTCACAGTATGGGTCAAAGATTCGTGAAATGCGACCAACTGCTGATGCGTGATTTACATGTAGGCTAAGTGACTATCTTTATTCCATACAACAAATGTAATGAAAAAAAACATACAAATATAGGAATATACTTGAGCAAATTATCTAAATAGCATAAATAGCTGCTTATTAGGTTATCAGCATTGCCCAGTTCGTATACTATTTATTTTTCAAATGAAACTCAAATTAATATAAAACATTCATTTGGTTAAAATAATATATCGGTTTGATTAACATAAAATAGTTTATACAGGCAAACTATCAGTTCTATTTCATTTAAAAAATTAAACAACCCCTAAATAAAATACAAAGATAAACAGTATTTGTTAATTATTATTTCTTTTATTGCTGACAATATTCCCGTGGCGGAGCACGGGCGGTTAACTAGTGTAAATAAAAACAGTGCTTGTTCTCCTATCTCAAAAGTGTGTTCATTTTTTCTCCCTCTCATAATCTCAATTTAATATATCCATCTCTCTACATATTACCCCTCTGGTCCTTCGAACTATTTATCATTACTCTCTTTCTCATTTCTATTCCCATTTTTCAAACATTCCCTATAATTTTAATAACCATTCCCTACAAATCATTCACCGTCCCAGTCTGTAATTGGCTAACTTGGGAAGATTTTGTCCTGCGGCAGAAATCACTAACTCCGGAGGTCGCTAACTCGGCCGCACCCACTGCAAGGAGCTTCGCCAACCTTGTATGAGGAAATAATTATACACTGCCGTTTTCATGTCAGTGTCGATAAACATAACTGTTATTGGTTTTTTTATTATCAATTCCATTTATAACAGCTACCTAGCCCAAAGTAATTAAAAGGCAATTAAAAGGTTATTTTTTCGTATTTAACTACATTTCGTATTTAACTACATGGCCAATTAAAATTGTATGATTTTTATCTTAAATAAATGCCACTATTATAGGTAAATAACAGATTATGAAGAATATTGATAATAGTACCAATTAAACCACTGTAAAATTAAGATAAATACACGTGAGTTCTCAAACACGGATAACAAATTTAATCGTGATGTCGTAATAGACCATTATCCTTCAAGAGAACTTCAAGTTCAAGTGGTTCAATTTAGATCTTACGGTCTTCTGGTTTAAAATAAAACTTTCATTAGTTAAAATATTGTCAATGCATGAGCTTGTATTTAGAGTTATTCTAGTTGGAGAACAAAAATTAATTGTAAAACCGTACATTCTGATTAAGTATAAAAACCTATTTTTATGGCTGGATGAGCTACAGGTTTCTAAAATATCTATATTAAATTCTCCTGCTATACAAATCTGATGAGTTTTTACAAATTTTTGTAGCTTAGCAAGTAGTAACTCTTTATCTATAAATATTATAAAATTACTAGCTGACCCGGCGAACTTCGTATCGCCTAAGTTATAGGTTTCCCCTAAGACAGACCGATGGAAAGAAAGTACCGTTACGTTTAATTTTCAAGATGATCTCGTTCGCATCGCTCAATCACGTCCTGGTTGAAGTTCGTTCGCTACGCTCACTCACCTTTGGGTTGGAGCTCGTTCGCTACGCTCACTCACCTTTAGGTTGGAGCTCGTTCGCTGCGCTCACTTGCCTTCAGGTTGAAGTTCGTTCGCTACGCTCACTCACCTTTTGGTTGCAAATTAGCTGTTGTCATAAATGTAAAAGCAATAATAGTGCTGCACCCTGTTGGTAATCCTTGTAACTTTAATGCTATTGAACATCATAGAACAGAACCAACTTGTTTAATTGAAACAGCTGTTAAGATTCATTAATTCCATTTCTCATAAGGTTAACATGGGAAACTCCAGAGCCACTGGGGCGGAGCCCTTTTAAGAATTTCGAAACGGGAAATAGTTTACGTCCGATTCGCATACCTACAGAATTTACACACCAAATTTCATAACGATCGGTGAAGTCGTTCCGGAGGAGTTTGCAGACAAACACTGTGACACGAGAATTTTATATATTAGATTTTCAGACTAATTCCAAATGAAATGTGTGAATGAATGTATGAATGAAATGAATGTATGAAATAATTTTAAGACTGGATTCACTGCACATCCCCGCCATTCTTCTTAGTGCACACCAGCCAGAATTTATTTTAACTAAAATGTTGCCTACATGCTCATTCCAATTCAAGTTTTTATTTATTGTTAGACCGAGAAATGTTGTACTTGTGACAAGCTCAATTGGCTCAGTATTCACCAAAATCAAGGGTTCTTTTTTGATCCTTGATTGAGCTGTTTTGAAGGAAATGTAGTTAGTTTTCTCAATATTTAAGTGGAGGTTGGGAAGTAATCATATTTCCTATTTCGGTGAATGATAAAATTTCTACTTGTTCTAAACTATTACCCGAAACATTAAGATTTGAATCATCAGCCAGTTTTATTTATAACTATTTGATTTATTATTATTTATAAAAATATACTCTCCACCGTCTTTATCTGTATTTCTAAAACTTAACAAGATACCATTTGCCTATTGTATACAATATAAAATAACGTACTCGGTATTTTAATGAAATATTCTTAACCTATAAATTGCATACTACTAGAACGTTATTTAATAACATGAATATTTTTTATATTGAAATTGAATTAAAATTTTAATTATAATAGAACAGAAAAATTGATTATGAAATAAAATAGACACCAAATTATTCTTGACTGACTTGAATTACTAAATTGAAATGATGAAAAGAAATAAATACTTGACAAACTATTACAATTATCACAATCAATGTGGAGTTTGTCCCCGTACAGTGAGTTATGCAGTACTGCGCTGAGTGAGAACAAGTTTGCACGTCGTGTGGCTCGTCTCAACCTCAATGTCTTACACTTGTGCCTCTCCCAAAATGTTCCTGCGGAGAGTATTCACCCGTCACAGACACTACAGAACATCCTCTACCTTCTGGAATCTGAGGACTTGGGAAGGTATATACATGAATAAAATGCTCATAACTAAATTTTTTTACTTTTACAAAAATATTCTTATTAGTTTAAGCAGGAATAAAAAAAAAATCAAAAACTAATTCAGCCAAAAACAAATAGTTGTCTGGATTGCCGAGTGGTTATAGTGCTTACCTTCAAATTTGAAAGTTGCTTTGATTCCAAATGAGACCGATTCTACACCCAGATGTCATTTCTCGGGCTATAAATTAATGATACCATCTAACAAAAGGCGGATGAACGAGACCAGGGTATGAACCCTTCTCTAAGAAAAGACCTTTAAAAAAATGCCAATGGCATAGATAAACATAACAATAAACAAAAACTCTCTTGAAAAATACAGTTTAGCATGATATCTTGGGATGGGTCGATCCTAGATTAAAAAATTCAGTTATAATTAAAAGAAAAATCTTAATTCTGCTTTTAACTAATACTGTACAGGAAAAATATTTTCCCCAGTATTTTATTTGTATTCCAATAATATTTTTAATGCAATATTTCAGTTGTTCGTACAAGAGAGTATATTAAATTTGCATCATTTTAACACAGCATGGGTTTACTGAAAGCAAAAGTGATGAAAAGGATACAAATATTTTAACATGTAAAAATTGTTGTATAGCTCAGGAACAAATGAATGCATGTTCTAGAATTGGCCCAGTACAAGTGGAGCCTTTGGTGTCTCGGGCACTTGAGGATCAGTTGAGGGTAAATCTGGACACTTCTAGTGATGACTCAGGCTCTGAGGAGGACAGTGACCATCTACCTTTGGAGTGGGAGGCAGTAAGTACCTGAATAGTCCTAATTATGTGAATAAATTAAAATACAAATGTTTATATAGCATATTCATGATGGAAAAAATTTGGTTACATACAAATAGGCACATAATTTTCTGATTCATTGGTGCTTTTGTGGTGGTTCATCATTTGAAATAAACACTGAGAAAAACAATGCCAAAAGGAGTTCTAGCCAGTGAAGAGATCGTTTTGAAGCTTCCAGAACAGTTTTAGACAAAGGCTACGTTATTTATTTGGACAAATGGTACTCCTCTCCCACGCTGTATTATACTTATGCTGTAGGCACTGTGAATTTGATCAGAAAAAAAACATGCCTAAAATGGATAGGTTGGAACCTGGAACTGCAGAGAGAGGAATCAGTTCAAAAGAGTAGTGAGGGCATCCTATACATTAGATGGGTAAATAAGAAAAATGTAAATACTCTCATTACGTTACATAGTGATTTGGACTTCCAGCCAACAGGTCGCCGTGTGAGGGACACACAAAGCCTACCAGGTTATGAGGTTTGTAAACGGAAACTGATTGTTGACTAAAACAATAGAATGCAGGGAGTCGACAGACAGGACCAAGTTTTAACTTATAACTTGCCATGTGCTGCTATTCATAGGGGCTCCACAAGAACTCTTACCTAATTGATTTGACCCTGTTCAAAGCTTTTGTGGTCTTTTCTCAGTTGAAAACGCTGTACACATCATCATCGCCTCTCGCAGTCACGGAAACGTCTTGTGCGTACGTGGCAATAGCGGTAATTTTCCGATCTCGTGGGCATCGGTATCGGAATCGACTTTCGATAATTGATTCTCGATACCGATATCAACGGCCAAGCATCGGTGGTATCGAGAATCGGTATCGAAAATCGAAACATCCCTAATTATATCTGATAATTTCTGAAAGTTTCAAGTTAATCTAATAATACATAACAAAGTTAGAGAAGTTTTCATAAAAGTACGTAAATTTGCCAAAATAATAAAAACTTTAGCCATCCCTTTTTTTAATTAAATAAAAATCCAAAGCGATTAAGTAATTTTGTGGCTTAAATAATAATACATATTATTTACAAGTACAGTAAAATTCCAACTATTGAATCTATTTGAATCGCTTACAGAAAGAATTTTGAAAACATCAATAAGAGTAGACAAATACTCATCGACCGTTGTTAGGTTGTTTGAAACGTAACGTAATGTATAGTCATCTGAAAATAATGACGGTTATTAATATTTTGTTTTCAGTCCGTGAAAATACATAGTCTATCAAAAGAAGTCGGATATATTAAAGGATAGTGTGGGATATCAAATTTGGGCTCAGGCGGATTCATATATAGGAATCAAACTAAATCCGACCCAATTTTGCGGATATCCGCACACCTCTACACATCATTAATCAACGAGGTGTAATGTTAGTGGCTTAGAAGGATATGAGCCGGACTATGTTTTGGCCAGGTTCAGTCCCTTGGATCAGTAGTTTTAGCAATATCTGGGGAAAACAGATACCATGTATGCAGTTACTATCTGAGTTAACAAACAATATAGATGTTTTTACAATCTTGGATATTTGACAGTTTGTATTGGATCACTTTGCTTGTTGCAGGTACCTCATGTGTCAAGTGTAGACATGTCTCACACTCCAGTGCACACCCACTCTACCAATGTAGCTGGGGGACTTATGGCCAGTGCTACAGCTAGTCTGGCGTCTATCCTGCGTGGCTGGACCACAAACAGATAACAGGTTAGACAATCAAGTAACAAATCACTATCTTACTCTCCTATTCCTATATGTCGAAACTTCTTTCATAAACCAAAATAATTTCTTTGCTTCAGTTCAAAAAACTTTTAAAATAAATTTGAAAAACCTTGAATATATTAAAAAGTCTTATGAAATCTAAAAGTTTACTAACAAACAACCAAGTCTGGTCAGCTTGATCCCCAAAATCAACAATTCAAGCAAATTAAATCAATCAACACCTTTATAAACATTTCTTTGTTAATCAGACTCATTACACACTTGTCCTTCAGTAGTACATACCTGCAATAGACAGTGTAATTTTTAGCATCCAAAACAAATAAAAATACATAATACAATTAATAAAAGACAAGCACAAGACGTCGTGGCTTTGTCCATGACAATGTAAAAAAAACATAGCCAAGTGTTTTATCTGTTACAAGGTAATAATACCCCCGCCGCAGCAAACCTGCAGACTAAACGAATTTCCATTTGACTGATTGGATTTACACTGAAATGTCTACTTAAAAATATAACATATTCTTGATTTAAATAGAATTAGTTTAACAAGTACTTAGGTTTGCTGCATCAGGGAGGGTGAAACTGTTTTTTTTTTGTAAAATGTGAATAGTTAGTAAGAAATAAAAACATTTTCCAAATTTGATCAAAATATGTTCACAAACAAGCAAACTACAACAGTTTACTTATTCTCCATAAGAATAACATGGGAATTTAAAATTTACAATTTTTTGGAATTTTCTCCGTAACCATTAGGCGCATAATAACGCTTCAATATACTAAATTATTTGTTTTTTTAAGCTCTACAAAATGGTTTGGAAAGAAATTGCTAAATTTTATGTTTTCTGGGTCAAAAATGGGAAAAACCTATTTTTTCCCCTTAAAACCCCCCGTAAACCCCCGTTCCCATGGTCCGATCATGCTGGATCGCGAACTCGTTCGAATAAACGTACGTTTACACGTTTGTACCAAATTTAATCAAAATCGGATCATTTATGCTCGAGTTATCGTGCTGACGGACACATATATATATATATAAATATATATATTGCGAGTCCCATGCCTCACTTTAAGTTTAAGTTTCCTAAAATGATTCACTCGCTTAGCTTAGTCAAGAGGTGTTAGGTTAATGAGACATAAGACTGCTTAAGGGTGTTACTCAACGTGTAATGAACAAGAATTTAAATTTAGAAAAACAACAACTAAAGTAACTAAGTGTTACAACAGCAAAAGAAAACTTTAGAAAAGGCAAAAATCAACAATAATAAGATTAATTAATTTACAACGTTAAATTTACAAGAAAAGAAAATCAATTGAAAATTTAAAAGAATTAGTTACTGACAAATTACATGACTTGTATGTTTGACAACACTTTAGTTATATATTTTATGCTTTTTACATACTGTTAATTGTCCCAGAAGCACACACACCGATACACGCACTCCCAATCTCCCGATCTTCTTTCTCCGGTGGCCCGTGGTGATCTCCTCGATGTTTTTACTTCAGATCCTCCAGCTCCAAGAGTCTTGACCCCTCCATCTTCTTCATTAGCCCTTCTCATTGGCTGATTACCGATAGGGTGTGTGGCTTATAGGTTAACGGTGTTTCTTGTAAGTCAGCCCTACCGGTCATCGCCTAGCTCACATCAGCTGGGAAAGGAATTTGTAAATCGATGCTCATGCTACTGTTCAACTCTGTTCACACCAACTGGTCGACTAAGTGTAATGTGAACAGAGTGTCTGCATAGATGAGCACCGTGGGTACGGGGTTAATCCCCTTTCTTACACCCCCCTGGTTAAAACGTCAACCTACCACCGGTTGACAATAAAAAAGAAAAAAGACAACTTAAGGAGATACACGGAAACATCAATCGCGAAGGTGGGAATCGAACGGATATCTTGATGTGCGTTCCGACTCTTCTTCCCCCCTTCCTGCGACGCGACGCGATCTTGAGGATCGGCGCATTTGCTTGTTTCGCGACCCTTCCAGCGATGCGGTAGAATGAGCTGGTGGTGTATAGCTCATAGTCGCTCACGTCTTCTTTCGCCCCATCGAGTCTCCTTAAGTTAATTGATTGTTTCATTAATTTTGAACTATTTAAATTTTAGCTGTTTGTTAAGATGTTTTATTTTTTAAATTATTATTATAAATTATTTTTTGATGTTGAGATTATTAATGGTTTATTCTGGGTAACACTTTGTTACATTAATAGTCTTTTTGAGGGGTTTGAGGTTTTGTGATTAGATTCATTTTAATATTGAGTATGTGGATGAAATATGCTGAAATAATGAGTAAGATTGTTAATATTACAATCCAGACTAATAAAATGTACAAAATTACTCTTCTTTCATCTAAAATGTCGGTCCAATTATTCTTTAATGTTATATGATTAAACAATTTAACAGGTTCTAGATTCTTTACAACAAAGGTGGGAGTAGTGATATTCCAATCGTCTATTATGAAGTTTGTGATGTTGTTGAATTCTGATCTATCGATCCTGTCTAGTGGGTCAACTTTGAGATAGTTTAAATTTGTCCATGAAAGAGGAATTAAATGAAAAATGGCTGGTGATTGATGGTCTCTGGAATCACAAGGAATGATAGTGTCAATGATTATTGTTTTTCCTTGGGAAACAGAACAGTCACAAGGTAATCTAATCTCTAGAGTTCCGGTTCTCATTTTTGGTATGGTTTTAATGTTGGGTTTGTTCAAACAATTGACTGTTAAGTCACTTTTTATGTTGGTGACTAGAAAAGTGTTAACTGATTTTTCTTTTACAATCACGTGATTAGGTGAATCATAGCAATGAAATTCACAGTGACTTTTTAGGTCTGAAATGTCTGTACCATTTAATAAATAAAGTGTACACATTGATGACTTGGAATATTGTAAATTGTGTCTTGGGATCAAGCAAAGGTTGGAATTGCGTTCATTGCAGTATTCATTATTTTCGGTCTCTACAATGTAAGTTGAAGTGTTCGTTTTAATGACTACAATTTTAGTCTCCGTAAGTTGGCATATTTTGTCTTCCCACATTAGAGGAATGGGGTTATAGGTGTATGATTTGTATTGCAAATTACTTTTTTGCAAGGGAATTTTGATTTGTAAAATTATATTTTCGTTTTCATAGTGACATTTGCAAATAGGAATACTGTAATAGGATTCAAGTTTCGTTAACGGAATGGCAGTGGTTAGATTTTGTTGACTCAATTTGATTTGAAGCCTAGCTAAATCTTGCTTCAAAGTCGGGGGTGGTAAAATCGATTCGGGGATTTTGTTATTTTGGCAGTCTTGTTCTATTTTATAAAGTTGGTTATAATACAAAGTTAGGTAAATGTATAGCCAAGTTTCTTGTGTGTACTTAGCTAGTTTTAAATCAAAATGTTCAGAAGTTTCATTTAAGTTTGATTTTATATTTCTGTCATAATTTTGAAATGTTTCATGGAGTGTTGTTAGTACTTTGTTGATATTTGAAGAGAAATTGTTTAATTTGGTTTCGGCTATAGTAAAGTCTCTGTGTTCATCTTTCACAAAATCTAACAGAGAATTTAGTTTATCGTCAACTTGTACTTCATTTTCCGCAAGATCATGAAGATTTGTCATGGTAGCTACATTACAACACCATTCTAAACCTCTTCCGATAAATTCAATGGAACGTTTAATTTGTTGTTGAGGTAGTTCTTTATTTAACTGAATGTTCGGGTCAAAATTTACTTGATCAATTGAGAGCATGTCATGAATAAAGGTTTGAATTTCTGCTAGTGTTTGTTTGAATTTGCAGTTTTGAAGTTCAGTTTGAATTAAGCTATTGCAATTATGGGGACGGGGTGTTTGATGCGATTTAGGGATCGATTGGGTTATTTTAGTCCGATAATTGATTTGGTAAAACAAAGGCGCGACAGAATGATAAGGAGTTACGATTGACGAGACCTCGTTAAATGTTACGCCGGTCACGATATGCGTTGGAATTTCCGCGCCAGCTGATAGAGTAGGTTGCCATATGAGAAGGATAGTGGCGAGCAGAGCTGGAACGGCGACATGGGCAGCATCACGGCGTCTGGGTTGAATGGACGGCTGACAATGCGATGGCGATGAAGTCATGTCGTGTTGCGGTGACCTTGTACTTGCTGGTGGCTTCAGGGACTCTTTTACTGCTGAAACTTACTTAACAGTGTGAGTTAGTACATGTTTTAATAGATTTATTCACAAATGTTGGTACTTGGTAACATACAATTTTAATTGATTCATATGCTTTCCCTACTAAGACTATCTATCTACTTATTGTAATGAATATTTAGTTGTTTGAAATGTATGTTACATGGAACTTAAAATATGTCACTTGTATGATACCTGATGTTGTTAGACACATAATGTTCAAAATGGTATTTGGTTCACAATTACTTTATGACGACACTTTGTTATAGGAGTTTTGAACATAAATGTTTTATTTTAATTATTTATGAATTCTTGCGTGAAAGTCCTTTCTTTCCTTAATAATCTAGAGAGTTGTAAAGAAAATTTTTTGAGTGAATAATTAAGGGTGATCAATCCTTAATTACTTCTCGTTGAGTGGAGTTTGTCCTTGGGCTGTACACCAAACCAGCTTGTATGTCACTGAATGTCACTAATTATCATTCATCTTACGCGCACTAGTAAAATCACTAAGTGTCCAACTTGTAAGTAAGTTGCTCGTTACAAGAACTAAAAATACAGTTACAATGGTAAACTTGATTACGATTGTCTGTGTGTGTCTGCGTGGCCACGCGATATTTTTGTATTAAAAGTCGACTTAACACTTGAGTTTTGTGTAGCTACACATTATTTACATAATATTTACACAAGTTTGCGGGAGTGCAAGTGCTTCGGGAATAGAAGTACTAATTGCTTCTTAGAATACACATTGCTTACGTATTACTAACTAAACATAAGTGAATACTAGCTAAGGTCAAAGCATATGAATCATATATGTATTGTGGTTAATTATTTTG